TCATAGACATAGTATATCTAGACCGAGCGTTTGCCTTTACTTAAGGAGTGGGGGTAAAGGTGCACGTAGAAAAGGACATACTCTGTTTCGTGCCCCTTGCGTTCTCTCTCGCTCGCACGTAGCATGACGAAAGAGAGCGCTATGCTATGTGCGAGTGAGAGAGAACGCAAGGGGCATGAAACAGAGTATGTCCTTTTCTACGTGCACCTTTACCCTCACACCTTAAATAAAGGCAAACGCTCGGTCTAGATATACTATGTCTATGGGTGCAGTTGGCCATGAGCTGTATTTTATTAAGGGTCGACAGGAGTGACGAGCAAACTCCGAATTGACATTGAAGACCTCGCGCGGTGAAAATGTGAAAGTCAGGTTTCAGGGTTACCAACGCTGAGGAATGAATTCTCAGTCTCGATGTATAGGTGTATGTCTGTATACGTACACACACGATTGCATTGCTCGCGTGGACGCACCGTGGAGAGGAAAGATAGAAAAGGATCAACGATCACGCTATCCTTGTTCCTCTAGCGCAGTGCTCGGAGATAGTTGCCCTTTTCGGGCCGATTCCGTGGCTCACGCCTATTGCCCCCCACTCACCGCTCGTGCGTTAGCGACGAGTCGCCAGATACGCGTAACTAAAGAGCGCGACGCTTTGTCTCAGGAGCGTCCGTATATAAGAATGCCCAAATATAATAATAAGACAATACTTTTCTATAAATAAAAGTTTTTCTTCAATATTTTATATTTCATTGATGCGTATATATGTATCAATAATATCTAAAAATTATATATATGATTAAAAATTGTATGACGATCAATAATAACAGTAAAATAATAACTCACAGAGTGAACTAATATACCCCAGACAGCACAAGGATGTCCTTAGGACGTCCAAAGGGCATCCAGGACATACATGTAGGATATCCTGAGGATATCCTATTTTAATCCTCGGATCTCCTCTGGATGTCCTGAGGAAGAATAAATGATAGCCGTACACTAGCCTCTAGAGAATCCAGGGAGATCCTGTGGAACACCTTAAGGATTTCTATAGGATATGTTAGGGATATTTTTCACACGTTAAAAAGAACAAATTCTAAAATTTAAATATAAATTAAGATTGCGTTCTGTTATTTACTGCCAATACTAAAAATCTAATACTAAAAATAGTTCACGTTCTTTAATATTTGAGGTTTTCGTGCTGTACATAAATATTTTAGGTTTGGCTTCCGGGTTTAAGTCGTGTAATATTTTCAAAACAATCCAATATCTGAATTCCCTATGTTGGGATTGCATCAGAAAAATTGAACTGATAAAAAATAATTATATTTTTAATTTCCTGTTAGTTGCTCTTTACAAGCTTTATATAATTCTCCAGCGGGATGCTTGTAGGAGAGGAGGAAGGAATTAAACAAAACACAGCAAAGCCCGTGTTTAAATGGAACGGGATGGCACGTGACCGTGTGTAAACTTGGGAACGCTGTGTCGCAGTGCGAAGTAATTTAAACTATGCTGTAAACTACTCTTTTGTGTACCTATACATATTTTGATATATATTTCACATTATATTTTATATTCGGACCGGCGCTGTATTTTTTCTCAAATCAGAAATTTAAAAAAAGTGAGACAAAAAATTAATATTTACTCATCTATCAGAATTAGTTTGAAATGCGAAACTCAAATAATAAAAATCAATTTTGCATTAGTTGAACGAATCAAGTTTGTATACGAGAAACGAGGATAATTTGATATATATTTTATATATACACACACGAGTATATATACACACTCAGACAGCACAAGGATGTCCTTAGGACGTCCAAAGGGCATCCAGGACATACATGTAGGATATCCTGAGGATATCCTATTTTAATCCTCGGATCTCCTCTGGATGTCCTGAGGAAGAGTAAATGATAGCCGTACACTAGCCTCTGGAGAATCCAGGGAGATCCTGTGGAACATCTTAAGGATTTCTATAGGATATGTTAGGGATATTTTTCATACGTTAAAAGGAACAAATTCTAAAATTTAAATATAAATTAAGATTGCGTTCTGTTATTTACTGCCAATACTAAAAATCTAATACTAAAAATAGTTCACGTTCTTTAATATTTGAGGTTTTCGTGCTGTACATGAATATTTTAGGTTTGGCTTCCGGGTTTGAGTCGTGTAATATTTTCAAAACAATCCAATATCTGACTTCCTTATGTTTGGATTGCATCAGAAATTGAACTGATAAAAAATAATTATATTTTTAATTTCCTGTTAGTTGCTCTTTGCAAGCTTTATATAATTCTCATGACCAAATCTCAAATACGAGTTTGCGCTTCGCATAGCGGTAAACAAACTAACTAGCGGTTGAATACTATTTTTTGTAAAGTTTTTGGAATGTTGCGCATAGTAACATTTCTCATAAATTATTAAATAAATAATAATTTTGAATATGTGAAAATGTGCGCATCAAATTCAATTATTAATATTAAACGAAATTAATGTTAACAGTTAATTGCACATGTATATGTCCTCTGGAAATCCAAAGGACATTCAATATAATAGACAGGGCAGGTATCCTACAGACATCCAGGGGTTATCCAATGGACATTTATAGGACATTAATACTTATTACAATACTTAAAATTTCTAAATTATATTAAATAGCCTACATAACCGAAAGTAATCATGTATGCATATTAAATTTTCATAAAATATATTTATAATAATATCTTAAAATATCCTACAAATATCCTGAACCATCCTGGACATATTTAGGATGATCTTGAGGACGTTTTGTGCTGTCTGGGACAATATGTAAAACACGGGCACTTATTAGACTTGGCAATTTATTGCTTTTTTACTTGTTGCTTTTTCATCGATACTTTATGTATTGCCAGCATGATAGAGCGACAAGGAGAGAACGATTGTTTAATCTCTCGCGTTATATATCGTAAATGTAAAATTTTTGTTTTTCGCGCTTATTGATCCGAAAATAATTATAATGAATTAATGATATTTTACCGATTAAAATGATACGAAACACGAAATTGAATAATTTTTTTTTAATTATGTAATTAAAATTATGACTACTTATTTCATTAGAAATAATCCGATTTATCTCATATTTAGTGTCATTTTAATCGCAAAAATGTAATTAATCCATTACAATTATTTTCAGATATATAAAATGCGAAATACAGAGATTTTATTTTCTATAATAAGATGACATATACACGTCAAAGATTACAGAGAAAGGGAGCCTGGCGAGCGAGACTTCGGAACACTCTGATGTTTGTCATCTCGCTTGCTCCTTCATTATTTCTTGCTCTTGCTTTTGTCGATTCTATAGCATCGGGGATCTTTCCTTATGTACAAAACATAAACATTTTATAAAATAAAAACTGAAACTTACATCTTGGATGTTATTA